AGAAAATATCAGAATTTTCTAATTTTAATTGAAACTAAAAATTAAATAATTCTACATTTTAATACTGATAGGTAAGTCATATAAGCTGACTTTTTTTTTTTTTTTTTGAGACAGAGTCTCACTCTGTTGCCCTGGCTAGAGTGAGTGCCATGGTGTCAGCCTAGCTCACAGCAACCTCAAACTCCTGGGCTCAAGCAATCCTCCTGCCTCAGCCTCCCGAGTAGCTGGGCTACAGGTATGTGCCACCATGCCCGGCTAATTTTTTCTGTATGTATTACTAGGCCAATTAATTTCTTCCTATTTATAGTAGAGACAGGGTCTCGCTCTTGCTCAGGCTGGTTTCAAACTCCTGACCTTGAGCAATCCGCCCGCCTTGGCCTCCCAGAGTGCTAGGATTACAGGCGTGAGCCACTGCGCCCGGCCTAAGCTGACTTTTATCACTGTTTCAAATACAACAGCAAATTTGGTCTCCCCCCCCCCACCTATAGACTTTCTCAGATTCAAATATACAATGAATGAAAAACACTTAAAAATCTGATTAATATAAGTCAGGAAATGATTAACATTTTTAAAATTTGTGAGAAACTCAAAAGAGAATAAGCAGCAAGGCTCTTGGAGAGATTAATGGTTAACATTTCAAATTCATTATGGGTCATGAAGGCCACTTATAAAATGCTATTAAAAGCTGAAATAATGGTATTATTACTATGATGACAAAGATGACAATTAAGCACTTACCTGAGACTAGGAACTAAGTACTTCACATAAACTAATCCTTAAAACTTTCATTATGAGACAGGTGTTATACCCATTTTATAAATGGGGACAATTGAGGTATAGGGTTTAAAGAATTTGTCCAAGGTTCCGAAGTTTAACAGAGTTAAGAACCAAATCTAGATTACTCTGAATCCAAAGCACATGTACTTATCCCCATGCACTATGATGATTCCCCACAAAGCAGATATTTAACAGAATTTGTCATATAATGCTACTATAATAGAAAAGTAGGTCAGGAACTTAGACATTCCTAACTCATTCTCGAAGGAGTTATAATAAGTAATAACCATGTGGATGAAAAAAAATTACAAATAACTACTATTCTTGCCACAAAAGAAAAAGTATGCTAACAAGACACATTTATAGGAATATGCTTAATTATGAAATAGCATGCCCCAATTCTAATAACACATTTACACACATTTATATGAAAATGGACCAAAAATAAAGGGCAGTGAGTTGTCTTGTGCTAGAAAAACAGGAACATAAAAAAAATCTATACTGGAAAAGTTTTACTGTATTTTTAAATAAATTAAGATCTGGAACCTTGAGGACATTATGCTATGTCAAATAAGCTATCGCAAAAGGACAAATACTGTATGATTCCACTTACATGAGGTATTGAAGTAGCTAAATGAATAAAAACAGAAAGTAGAATGGTGGTTTCCAGAGGCTGGGGGAAAGGAAAAAAGGGGAATTGTTTAATGGGTACAGAGTTTTAGTTTTACAAGATGGAAAAGTTCTGGAGATCTTTTTAAGAATGTGAATGTGCTTAACACTACTTAACTATGCACTTAAAAATGGTTAAGATGGTTTAAAAAAATAGAATTGGTACTAATACATAAATAGCCGTAAGTAGACATAATTCAATAGAATAGTCCTCTAGTACTGCCCGATATAGTGGCCACCAGCAGCATACAGCTATTGAAATTTATGTTAACTTAAAAAAATTAAAAACTTATTACTCATTTACACTAGCCACATTTCAAGAGCTCAATGGACATTATGTGGCTATTCAGGACATCCTAGAAAGAAAACATTTTTAAAATCACAGAAAGTTCTATTAGGTAGCATGGTTCAGAGTATACACAAATAGATTCAAATACATACAGGAATTTGTATTTTTGATACAAAATTGTGTGTGAGGCACACAAGGTGGCATTTCAAATCAGTGGGGAAAGAATTATTGAGCAAATGGTGTTGGGATAATTTGATAGCCTAGGAAAAAATTAGGGAGGACTAAGGGAATAAAGCTAAAAGAATGTCTGGATGAATCAAAGATTTATCCTTAAAAAGTGATGTTGGACGTGAGGCCTCATGCCTATACTAGCACCTGGGGAGGCCAAAGTGGGAGGATCCCTTGTGGCCAGGAGTTCGTGACCAGCCCAAGCAACTTAGTGAGAACCATCTCTATGTTTAAAAAAAAAAAAAAATTAGCCGGGCATGGTGGTATGCACCTGTAATCTCAACTAATCGGGTAGCTGAGGCAGGAAGATTGCTTGAGCCCAGGCCTTTGAGGTTGTGGTGTGTGACGATACTGTGGCATTCTAGCCTGGGCAACAGAGAGATATTGTCTCCCTCCCCACACCTCCAAAAAAAAGGTGAAATGATCGAAGTGCTAACACATAAGTCTAAGTAAGAATGGGCTTCCTAAGTAGACTATAAACACAAAAGACAAAAATGAAAGATGAAAGACTCAGGGTTTATTTTCATCTAAGGAAAAATAAAATTTTTTAGATGTATAAGGCCCAGACAAACCAAAAGAAAATGGAAGTAACAGGTGTTCTATTTCCTTAATCATATAAACAATATAACTCAGTGTGAAAAAGAAACATTGAAAGTGCCAAAATGCACATGAAAAACTGCTCAAATTACTCACAATTTAAACACTATTAAAAATTGCATTTTCAGCCGAGCGCTGTGGCTCACGCCTGTAATCTAGCACTCTGGGGAGGCCGGAGACGCGATGCTCGAGGTCAGGAGTTCGAAACCAGCCTGAGCAAGAGCTGGACCCCGTCTCTACTATAAATAGAAAAGAAATAATTGGCCAACTATATATATAGAAAAAATTAGCCGGGCATGGTGGCGCATGCCTGTAGTCCCAGTACTCGGGAGGCTGAGGTAGGAGGATCGCTGAGCCCGGAGTTTGACGTTTGCTGTGAGCTAGGCTGCAGCCACGGCACTCACTCTAGCCTGGGCAACAAAGCGAGACTCTGTCTCAAAAAAAAAATTGCATTTTCAACCATGAGATCACAAAGATAATTCCCAGTGTAGTTGGGAGTGTGGGGAGATAGGCACTAATGAATATAAAAACTGACACAACACATATCAGAGAGTAATTTTAAAAGTTACCAAAAATCAGCCGGGCGCGGTGGCTCACGCCTGTAATCCTAGCTCTCTGGGGGAGGCGGAGGCAGGCGGATTGCTCAGGTCAGGAGTTCAAAACCAGCCTGAGCAAGAGCGAAGACCCGTCTCTACTATAAATAGAATTAATTGGCAACTGAGTATATATAAAAAAATTACCGGCATGGTGGCGCATGCCTGTAGTCCCAGTTCTGGAGGCTGGCAGAAGGATCGTTCCGGTCTAGTTGTGCCGGGTGAGTAGCGCTGACGTCATGGCACTCACTCTAGCCTGGACAACAAGCGGAGAACTCTTGTGTTTATTATTATTATATATTAAAAAAGTCCAAAATATATTGTATACATTAGAAAAAATGTGGTATCGAGTCTGGGAATGACTTTAAAATAATCTGAGGGATAAAAAATTTACCTAAGAAAAGTGGTGATAACAAAATTACGCATAAATTGATAGTCATTGGAGGAATGTAGTGGTATATAGTGATTCATTATACTGTTCTCCCCATCTTTGTAACATTTGAGTTTTTTCCTATAGAGTCTTTCCTAATGTTCATACCTTTTAACCCAGGAATCCCATTTCTAGGAATTTCACCTACAATTACATTGTACAAGCACACAACAACATAAGTACAAGGATGTTCTCTGAGGCAATAAAAGCAAAAACCTGGAAACAACCTAAATGTCCATTAGAGCACTGGTTGAATAAATTATGGTTTATCTAAACACAGTAATGTCACAGACCTCTAAAAAGAATGCAAGTAAATTACATGAGGTAGATTATGGAAAGGGAGAAAAATATCATGGGCAGAACAATAGGTACAGTTTGATCACATTTAAGAAAAACAAAATCACATATGTAGATTTGTAAATGCACATCAGAAATGTGCCCATATTCATAACAAATTTCTGGAAGGATATGTGAAAAACTTAACAGTGGTCACATCTGGTTGGGCAGCAAACAGGTGGCATATTACATTCATTACATTTAAAGTGAAAAGAACCAGAATTTTTAGATCTTTCATCTACTAAGGTGATTGGTATTCATTTAGGAACTGCCAACATTCAGGATCAATGTTGGTGGGGAGCGTGCCTCAAAGTACATTTAAATTCTACACCAAATCTTCCATCTTAAGAATTAAGAAAAAACCAAAATAAATTCTGCATAACAGAATAGATGAGCTATGGCTCTTTTATTGCTGAACCCATCTCAGGATGCTTAACATACCTCTATATCCCAGCCCTGATGACCCATCCTCAGGTCTAATATTATCTTGAATAATTACTCTGAAGATATAAGAAAGATCCTTTCCTGATATTAATCAAACAATGATATTTATTGAGCAAATATATGTGCCTAATTCTACGGGGAATACAAAAGAATAGTATCATAGTCCTTTCTTAAGAAGTTTATAACAGAAAAAAAAATATTCATACAAGGACAATTAATGCCAGGCAAACACATTATGTGCTTAGAAAAGGAGCAGCTTTTCTGATGTGGGAGTGAATAGTCAGGATTCATGTAAGAAATAAGAGGGCAGATTCAGCCAGATTACAGGTGAGAGGATTACATAAAACTACTAGAAAGAATGAATAGAAATAAAAAACTGAAACAGTGACTCAGAATGAAAGGAAATGAGGACTAAAAGAAATATGGAGCAATAAGTAGAATGAGAAAAGAAATAAGTAATAAGCTCAAGGCAATATAAATCTTAACAACTTGGAAAAAATTAACATTTTATAAAATTGGCAAAGAAGAATTTGGCAGCAACAGCGCACAGAACAGGGTAAACCATTTTCAAGTCTTTGCTTCTTTTTGGCTTGCTTTCTTGATATTAGAAATAAAATAATGAACATTATTTCAATACCTCATTTCCAGAGTCTAGTGGTCTCTTCTTCCTTGGTCCAATAGCTGCAAGAGCTGTGAGATTAGCATCTCTCTGCTGTATCTGTGCAAGCTCCAATTGCTGTAACTAGAAGATGGAGAAAAAAAAAATCAATATTTACACACTCATGCTCAGAAGGAGAAAGAAACTGATCACCAAGGCTATTTCTGTATTCTTCACTAAATAAAGTTACAGTGCAAAATAAATATTAGGTTCCCCTAAAACACAAAGGCACATTTCCTTTACTCCAACAAACTCTTGAGTCCTTAATCTCTGTATGGAACAGGCAGAACTTAGGTAAAAGGGAAGTATAAAATAGAAAAAGAAGAAAGAAAGGCATCTAAAGTTTCGTTTCTCCCAAGTTTAAGCATAGGTAAGAAATGCCTGAAGAAGTTCAATAAGTAAATTAGACAGAGATTGGTCAAACTATAGTCAAACTTTTCAGATTAAAAGAAAATTACTTTATATTAATGGCTATAACATGAAAATTATACATGCCATCCCCTTTTTACTAGTGGAGACAGTGAGGCTCTAGGAGTTTAGGACAATTTCATAAAAGTCATGCACGTAGTAAGTGGTAGAAACAGCGCTCAGAGCCAACTGTTCTTGTCACAAACCTTTTCAGAATATCACTTTCTCAGTTGCAAATGAAAGTCTTAGATTTACCCTATATTTATCTTCATGGCAAAAATCTAAAGTGATTCTGTTTTGTTGTACAGCTCTCAACATATTTAATCCAGAATGCCCAAATCTACAAGTGTAATTTTTTTCATACGTGGGCAAAACTATAAAGAAGTATATGTGAAAGATGTCCTATTAAAAGGCATAAATAGCATCATTTCATTAAGGCAGCTAAGTGTCTAATTAGGTATTCTTTAAAGAAACAGGGTGAGAATGTTAAAATAAAACACCACTACATGATCAAATCCTTCAGCTTTTCCAGAATAATAATGTTCAATTCCCATTAAAATCTTACTATTATGGAGGGAAAAGAGGAAAGAACCTGGGACTGGTTGATAGTTACATATGCAAACAAGGTCAAGATAGTCAACAGAAAGTAACCTGTTCAGAAACCCCATACATATATTGGAAATATTTTTTCAAAAGAGTCCTAACCACATTTTTAAACACATTTTAAAAAAGAGCAGGATGAAAATAGGAAATAATCTGTGGTAAAATGGTCAGTCTCAAGGAGATACCAAGTAAATAAACCCCACTTTAAGATCACTTCAGATTATTTTAATATTATACCAGAGACAATGAATAAGCCATGGGTAATAATCTTTAGTAAAGCAGAAAACAACTGCTATGTTCTGAATGTTGGTACTCCTCCAAAATTCTAATGTTGAAATCCCAACACCCAAGTTGCTAGTATTAGGAGGAGGGGCCTCTGGGAAGTGATTAATTCATGAGGGTAAAGCCCTTATGAATGGGATTAGTGAAGAGACCCCATGCTCCTTCCACCATGGGAGAACAAACAGAGAAAGCAGGTCCTAACCAGACACCAAATCTGTGAGCACCTTGATCTTGGACCTTCCAGTCTCCACAACTATGAGAAATAAAACTCTGTTGTTTACAAGCCATCCAGTCAAGGTATGTCATCTTAGCTCACATGGACTAAGACAACAATTAATCAAAGAAAATGAACTAAGAACCATTTTCTGTTTGCTCCACAAATTACAGGAAAGAAATGCTTCTTTTAAACTGTGTGCTAACTCATAAATAAATTGTTTAAAAAGTGTTTTCAGAAGCTGTAAAATATCTTTTGTTGCTGCTGGCCTTTTTAATAAAATATATAGTTTTTAGAGTCTGATGCTGCCACAATCCAGAACTTCTAGCTGATGAAATAATGATTTTAGTTAATCTATCCTACAGCATAAATCAAATAAATTATATTTCAAAGTCCTTCCCTGCAAAGAAGTGGCATCTGCGAGATAGTCAAACCATATAAAAATTTTTCAATTGACTCCTATCTTCCAATTTCCCTGTCTAAGTGGTAAAACATTTCCTTCCACTATGAAAATTATACTTTGGTTTTTTTCAAGTTTCATACACAAAATTTTAGAAAATTTTGTAAAACTTTAACAAAAATGGAAACTGACTATAGTTTTCATTGATTCTGTATTTATAAAAAACACTTTCTCAAAAACAGTGTATCTTGGCCAGCACAAAACAGAAAAACTAGGCACTTTTAACCAGAGCAGTAGGAAGTTCTGGGCATTAACGCAGATTTGCTATATATACCAAGAGTAAAGACTACAATGAGCAAGTGCAGTTCAATAAAAATAGCCACTGAGTTAGAGACTTGCCTGTGGAAACAGGATTGCAAATGACATGATTATCTATGCAGAAAGCCCCAAAAACCCAAAAATCCTCCTAGGACAAATTAGTGAGTTTAGCAATATTGCAAGATGCAAGGTCATTAAGGTACAATTGGAAACTTAAAATTTAAAAAATGTCATTTATAATAGCTCTCCCTAAAATGAAAACCTGAGATATAAATCTCTATGTACAGATATTTCTATGCTATAAATCACAAAATGCCCATGAAAAATTTTAAAAAATACCTGGGCTGGGTAATGTCAAGAAAAAAAAAATAAAAAAAAGAAAAAAAAGAAAAATTTTAAAAAATAGGAAAAAAAACGAAGATATACTGTATTCATGAATTATAAGATTCAACATAATAAAGACTTCAATTCTCTCTAAACTGATCTACAGATTTAGCACAATTTCAGTAATTTTTCTTGTAGATATGGATAAGTTGATTCTAAAGTTTATATGGAAAGGCAAATGAACTAGAATAGCTAAACTAACTTTGAAAAATAAAGAACAAAACTGGAAGAATCACACCACCTGATTTTGACTTCCTAAAAGGCTATAGTAATTAAAATAATGTAGCATTGGCAAAGACACACAAATTAATGGAATAAAACGGAGAATCTGGAAATAAGATCCATATGAATATGGCCAATTGAGTTTTCACCAGGTTGGAAAACAAAGCATTTGAGAAATGACAAAAATTCTCTCCTTGAACAAACTTCTGAACCCTCCTCTCAACTAGGTCTCCACCTTGGCCTAAAAACATTTGAATAAAACACTAACACAGTTCCTAACAGCTCAAGGCCACATCCCTAGGATGACCCTAACCCAACTTAAATGGCCTATCTGAGAAAATCAAGGCTGCTAGAAGAATTTACTATTTGTTCCAGCCAAAACCTGAAATAAGGCCCCCTTCTCCCAGCCGTTGTGGAAGGGTAGGAGCCTAACTTTGATAAGCACCAAGTAGCAAAACCTCATGGTTTTCAATGGACCAACTCTGACTTCCTTACTCGCTCATTCTCCCTTTAAAACACCCAGTCACCTCAGTACAAATCAGTCAAAGTTGAGTCTAGTTCACGCTGGATTCTTTTCCCCATAGCAAAAGTATATTACTGATTAAAATCTGTCCTTACCACTTTATTGTCTGGCATAGTATTTTTACCAACTGTTGGAGCAATTGGACATCCTTGTGCCCAAAAGCCCCACCATTCTGGACCTACAACTCATACCTGATAAAAAAAAATTAACTCAAAATGTAAAACTATAAAAACTTCTAGAAAAAAGCATAGGAGAAAATCCTTGTGACATGGAGTCCAGCAGAGAGTTCTTACATAACAAAGCATATTCATAAAAAAAAAAAAAAAACCTGACACAGTAGACTTAGTCAAAATTAAAAACTTTTGCTGTATGGAAGACACTCCAATCTATTTGCCTTTGTTGCCTATTGTATTGGCAAGGACTTTCTGTAACACTGGTAAAAGCAGAGATTCTTGCTTTTCCTAATCTTTGGAAAAAAACATTCAGTCTTTCACCGTTAAGAATGATTTTAGCACTAGGCTTTTTAAAGCTGTCTTTTATCAGATTGAGGAAGTTCCTTCTTCTATTCCAAGATTCCTGAGAATTTTTATCAATATGGATATAAATTTTGTTAAATGTATTTCTGCATTCATTGATATGATTGCATAATTTTTCTTTCTTAGACTATTAATATGGTAGATTATATTGATTGATTTTCAAATATTAAACTGCCATTGCATTTCTGGGGTAAACCACACACAGTCATGGTATATTATTCTTTCTAAATTAATTAATTTTTTTTAGAGATGAGAGTCTTGCTATGTTGTCCAGCCTGGACTCAAACTCCTGGGCTCAAGCAATCCTCCCACCTCAGCTTCCTGATACAGGACATACTACTGCACATGACTATTCTTTTATATATTGTTGGATTTGATTTGCTAATATTTTGTTCAGGATGTTTATATCCATGCTCATAAGGGATGCTGGGGAAGTTTTCTTGTTTTGTAACATATTTCTGATTTAAATTATCAGGATAATGCTGGCCTTATAACATGAATTGGAAGTATTTCTCTCTCTCTTATTTTCTGGAAAAGATTATATAGAAGTGGTGCTGATTCTTCTGTAAATATTTGGTAAAATTTACTAAGTAAAATAATCTGCAGCCAGATATATCTTTATTAAAAGGTTTTAGCTACAACTTCAATTTACTTAATAGTTACAGAATTACTCAGGTTATCTATTTCATCTTGACAAAGTTTCTTATTTCAAAATATTAAGGGGGTAGGCTGGGCGTGGTAGCTCATGCCTATAATCCCAGCACTCTGGGAGGCCGAGGTGGGGATATTGTTTGAGCTCACAAGTTTGAGATCAGCCTGACCAAGAACGAGACCTCTTCTCTATTAAAAAAATTAGCCGGGCGCGGTGGCTCACGCCTGTAATCCTAGCTCTTGGGAGGCCGAGGCGGGCGGATTGCTCAAGGTCAGGAGTTCAAAACCAGCCTGAGCAAGAGCGACGACTCCGTCTCTACTATAAATAGAAAGAAATTAATTGGCCAACTGATATATATATATAAAAATTAGCCGGGCATGTGGCGAATGCCTATAGTCCCAGCTACTCGGGAGGCTGAGGCAGAAGGATGTGTCGAGCCAGGAGTTTGAGGTTGCTGTGAGCTAGGCTGACGCCACGGCACTCACTCTAGCCTGGACAACAAAGCGAGACTCTGTCTCAAAAAGAAAAAAAATAGAAATTAG